AGAGAGATGGGGAGGGGGGAGACAGAGAGGGAAGAATGAGACACAGGGGGAATAGAGAGATGGGGAGGGGGAGAAAGAGACAGAGAGGGAAGAATGAGACACAGGGAGAAAGAGGGGGAATAGAGAGATGGGGAGGGGGAGAAAGAGACAGAGAGGGAAGAATGAGACACGGGGAATAGAGAGATGGGGAGACAGAGAGGGAAGAATGAGACACGGGAGAAAGAGGGGGAATAGAGAGATGGGGAGGGGGGAGAAAGAGAGGGAAGAATGCCCCCCCTCCCCTGTCCGCAGGCACCGTGCGGGCAGGGGAGGAAGAGAGGACCTGGGAGCTCACCCTGCAGCTCCTCTGGGTCCTTCTTGCGCGAGCACAGAGCGTTGCCGCGGTTACCATGGCAACGTTACTGCTCTTGCGAGAGTCAACTCTAGCCCTGGAGCTACGGGCTAGAGTTCACTCTCAACACTGTAACCCCCATGGATTCCTGGTGGTCGCAGTGGTGAGAGTGAACTCTAGCCCCATAAACACACTGCCCCCACACACACACCATACACATTCACACACTGCCCCCATACACACCATACACATTTACACACATTGCCTCACACACACACACACATACACTGCCCACCCATATACACACAGACCCCCATACACAGCCCCCCATACTAACATTGCCACACACATACACTGCCCACACACTCTACACATTCACACACTACACCCCCACACACACACTGAACCTTTCACACACATTGCACCACTGCTCCTATTCCCTACTACAGCCTCATATCCCAGCAGACCCCAGGTAAGTTGTCAAACTGTTCTTAAACGGTTTGACTACTTACTCTGGAGCAGTAGTGGTTATTGTGCATGGATTATTTCTTTAAATAATCTACAAGTGCCCCAGTAGCCAGCCAGCCAACCCACAGGCTGGCCAGTAGCCAGCCCACAGGCCAGTAGCCAGCCCACAGGCCAGTAGCCAGCCCACAGGCCAGTAGCCAGCCCACAGGCCTACAGCAAGCCACAGGCTTACAGCCAGCAAGCCATAGCCTGCCAGCCGCAGTCAGCAAGCCCACAGCCTGCCGGCAGTAGCCAGCAAGCCCACAGCCTGCCGGCAGTAGCCAGCAAGCCCACAGCCTGCCAGCCGCAGCCAGCAAGCCCACAGACTGCCAGCCAGCAACAGTAATTAAGGTAAGAGGAGCCAACTTGGCTTAGGTATCAGCGAGCTATGTTGTGTTGCTATATTGTGAATAGGAACCAGAGTGTTGGAGAGACCACCCTCCAGGCCCCATTAGACTCTAGCCTCTGCTAGAAATCCCCTCCATGGCCCATTAGCCCTCAATTGTAGTTTCTACTGGGGCCTGGAGGCGACTGTTTCCAGCAGGGGATATCTAATGGACGCTGAGATGGCCTCTGTTAGAAAGACCCCCTTCCAAGCCTTTTAGACTCCATTGTAGTCTCTAATGGGGCTTGGAGGGGATTCTTTCTAACACACCCTCTAAAGGACACTGAGATAGCCTCCGCTAGAAAGACCCCCCTCCATGGCCCATTAGCCCTCAATTGTAGTCTCTACTGGGGCCTCGAAGGGCTTATTGCCCTTTTGTTCCTTGTGTCTAAAGATTGTGTAGGGTGTGGCTGGAGGCGGTGCATGGAGGCGGGACAAGGGTGGCGCTTGCTGCAGAGTATGGGTGGGGCCTGTAAGGGGGCCCTTGATTTATTTTGCCCGGGGGCCCTGAGGGTTCTCAGTCCGCCCCTGACTATATTGTACCATTGGTCCCATCTGTTATATCTCTTTTTTCATATGCTGCTGATAATTTGACCCAAGATGTCATATGAACACTTTAAAAATTGTATTACTTGCTTTTGGTACCTTTTTATTGTATTTTTTTATTTTTTTTATTTGGTGCACCCTGTATCCCTTGTTCTGTCTCTCCTTGTGAGAGTTGTCTGACATTATTTCATCATGACGTCAGTCCGTGTCTTTACATTCTTACTCTGGGCACCGTTTTTCTTATGGTATAATGTCCATTATATTTGCCATCATCCGTCCGATTGTCTTTAAAAACATTTTACATATTCATTAGGGCAGTCATTTATAAAATCATGCAGCTCTCAAATAAAATATATGTATTCCTAACAATACACTGTTCCTTTATCTTTGTCAATAAAAACAGAAAATGAAGACTTTACTATATAATAAAATGTATTCTCAATAAATACTGGTAGAGGGCACCGTTGTACACAGAGTATAATTTATATGTATAGTGTGAAACTGGAAACAGTAAAGAGGAATGTGAAATGAAACTACTGTAAGGCAAGCCAGATAAGAACTATCTATAATATAGGGTCATCTACTGAAACTTGCTATTCTAAAAATACTATATTTGAACCCAACAATTCTGGTTAAATACCAGAATTGGATACATAAAATCCAATTCAGTTTTCTATTAAAGACAATTTAGTTAGAATACAGTGATTGACGGAATGTACAAATTAATTTATGACTAGCTGCGCTGTCAATAAACATGTTTCAGAACATCAGACATCAGTAAATCAGACATTTCTAAATAAGTTTCAGTTTAATATTGCATTTCTGGGAGAGGCAATTAAATAATATGTCCACTTCAGAGCATTTGCTGAGTAAGATGTTTTAGAATAACAAGTGAGGGTGAAAAGTTTTGTTCCCCCTTCCTAGCTTATTATTCTAACCATTCTACCGGGGGTCATAATATTTTGGGCGTACATACTCATTACTCAAAATATGACATTCAATATGACATGACATTCAAATATCTGCTATATTTTTCAACCCATATTATGTGGATATTACTGTAGGCGACGGTTTAGGATCCAGTGATAATCAGTCAGTGTGGTTTAATATAAGAACAGTGACTGAGTAAAACCACACAAAAACAAGCCTTTTAGACTTTAGAAAAACAGACTTTTCTAAAATTAGAATATGTGTAAAGGAGTCCATGTCAGACTGGAGCAGTTTAAATGGAGTCCAAGAGAACTGGGATTATTTAAAAATTGCACTACTGAAGGCAACAGAAAATTGCATTAGGCTTGTCAGTAAAAGCACAATTTAAGAAACCACTGTGGTACTCGGTAAAAGTGGCCAAAATAGTAAAAAACTAAAAGTTAGTATTTAGAAATTATATTAAAAAAAAAAAGAGTGAGGAAGACAGACAGATCTATAAGATTAGGCAGAAAGAGGCTAAGCAAATAAGAGCTTCCAAATCTCACACAGAAGAGAAAATAGCACAGTTAGTTAAAAAACAAAAACAAAAAAAAGGACATAACATTTTTTAAATGCATAAATGAGAAAAGGAAAGTAAAACAATGATTAGTTAGATTTAAAAAAAAAAGGAAAGTATGTAGAAGGTCTAACTGACTGCCTCAATTAATATTTTTGTTCAGTATTTACAGATGAAAATGAAAGAAAGGGACCTCAGTTAGGAAAAAGGACAAATTAGTAATTTGTTACATGTGAGTTTACAGAGGAAGAGGTTCTATTTCAATTGTCAAAAGTAAAGACAAAAATCAATGGGGCCTGATCTTTAATCTTTGATTCCAATATTGTTGAATGGATAAGGCAATGGCTGAGGGACAGACAACAGAGGGTTGTAGTGAATGGAGTATATTCAAAGTATGCAGTAAATTCAAACTTTGTTACCAGTGAGGTACCTCAGGAATCTGTAGGGACCCATTCTCTTTCATAGTTTTATTAGTGATATTGCAGAAGGTCTTCATGGCAAGGTATATCTTTTTGCAGATGATGCTAAGATGTGTTACAGGGTTGATGATCCAGGAGGGATAAGCAAAATGGCAAATTATTTAGGTAAACTAGAAAAATGGTCAAATCTGTGGCAGCTGACATTTAATGTGGATAAGTGCAAGATAATGCATCTTGGACGTAAAATCCCAAGGGCAGTGTACAGAATATTTGATAGAGTCCTAACCTCAACATCTGAGAAAAGGGATTTAGGGGTGATTATTTCAGATGACTTAAAGATAGGCAGACAATATAATAGAGCAGCAGGAAATGCTAGCAGAATGCTAATGCTTGGTATATTAGCAGTTGAAAGAGGGAAGTGCTCATGCCATTGTACAGAACACTAGTGAGACCTCACCAGTATTCTGTAGTACTGGTGACCGTAATTCCAGAAGGATATTGATACTTTGAAGAGAGTTCAGAGAAGGGCTACTAAACTGGTTCATGGATTACAGGATAAAACCTACAAGGAAAGGTTAAAGAATCTTAACATGTATAGCTTGTTGAAAGATGAAACAGGGGGATATGATAGAAATATTTAAATATATAAAGGGAATCAACACAGTAAAGGAGGAGACTATATTTAAAAGAAGAAAAACTACCACAAGAGGGGCATTAAATTAGAGGGGCAAAGGTTTAAAAATAATATCAGGAAGTATTACTTTACTGAAAGGGTAGTTAACACAATGAATAGCCTTCCAGCTGAAGTGGTAAAGGTTAACACAGTGAAGGAGTTTAAGCATATGTAGGATAGGCATAAGGCTATCCTAGATATAAGATAAGGCCTGGGACCACTGTCAGTATTTAGAAAATTGGGCAGACAAGATGGGCCAAATGGTTCTTATCTGCCATTACATTCTATGTTTCTATGAAAATAAACTCATAATACCAAACAGGACTGCTTCCCTGTTGAATACAATGGAAGTATGTTTTTTTTTATCTTATACACATGACTATGAAAGCCTACACAATAACCCCTAGTACCTCTGGAGATGAGCATGAATAATATCCATCAGGAATTCTCAGAACTTAGAACCAGGAAGGAGCCAATTGCAATCTACTATCCCCTCACCCAGTGCGTGTGAATCAGTGGGTTAAAAACCAGCAGGATCCCGGGCAGTGCCTAAGCCTCATGGTGGCTAGGCGCAACTTGGAAGCGCTCCGGACCAAGCACATAGTTCAAGCCTTTTACTGGGACAACCATCAATCATAACTGACATAATCACATAGCCACTAATACCAAAAGAAGTGATCAGAACCAGTTTAAAACGGAGCTGAAGGCAGAACTTAATAATGGAATATTTATTATGAGCAAAACATAGTCACAGTGCATAAATAGATGATAAACAAATATTTATACTAACAGACAAAAACAAAAGGGATAAAATAACAGATGTCCTAATCACTTAGTCAGGTTTTCAAAGTAAAACTTCTGCCCAGGGGGTCTCTGGCAAGGAAGATGGTGACTCACTCAAAATACACATTTTGACACATAAGCAAGTATAATACACATTTCAAATTGGATATATACCCTGTGGATTATATATACCAAATGAGGCAATAAATGACCACCCCATTTGTGTGCCAGACCAACATCAATCCAAATAGAAACTTTTTCTTATATCTCCTCTTTTGTACTTGCCACAGAAATAATAAATGCATCTATGAATTTGTTACCATTTTTCAATTCCATAAATATGTCAAACTTCTTACTTGTGACCCATATGGTTAATTTATGCCAATCATGTTTAGGCTTGATTAAGAGATTGTGCTTGTCCCATTCTAAATATAATAAAAATGAGGCTTAATTATTAATATGTGGGTAAGTATTAATGTTTCTTTTGGATATGATACTGGAACACCAGGGTTTGTTTGTTTGTTTTTTCTTGAAAGCTAATTACCATTCATATCAAAGGACTCCTTATCTAAGAAAGACTCTAGAAATATGGCAAATCAGAGAGTTAGTTTATATTTAAACTAGACTACCAGACCATGTATGTGTGACTTCTCACACCTTACAGAGTAGCTCTGTTGGGGTCCTCGTCTTCAAAGAGGAATTTATGTTATAAACCTTCTGACCTCTCATACAATCAAATAAACCACTTTTGAAATTGACAATACCACCTCTACCAAGTGGCCAATTAATATATGCACTACACAAATTACATTAAATTACAATATTCTATAGTGCAAAAATGAATTAGGCACCCTTGCCATGACAGTCACCATCTATTAACCATTCAGCTGTTAATTTGAACTATGCTGTATTTTATATTAATCATAGTCCCTTTTATTAATTTTCATTTATGTTGCGTTTGATGGTGCACCATGATATTGCTTTTTTGTGCAGTGGTACCTTTCTAAGTACTAACTTAACAAGTGATTTAGCTTTTTTTATACTATGCCATTCCCTCAGTTGTCTTCATGTCTAGAAAGCCTACTTGTTCACAAGCTAATACTTTAACCTATATCTAGACATGCTTATCTAGCTTGTTGTTTTTACTCTAAGAAAATGTAGCTAATGACATATCCACGTTATCTTTTGTCTGTCACAGTAATTGCTTACCTATGCTGTTGTGGCTAGGTTGCTTATTTGTATTCATATGCTCAACAAAAATATAAAGAAAAAAATAAAGATGCCTGAATATCCAAATGGTATATCCCAGCTTCCTACTATCCCTTTAATCAAAATGTAGTTGATTAAATAGTAATAAATATATCCTTGGTGTACCAAAATGTGATACAGACAGTCCAACTCCAAACTTGGAGTTCATTGTACCTATATATGCAGGCTAATCCTAAATTATACAGACATTTGTTAAATCTCAGATTTGACTAGTGCAATCTTTGTAAAACTGTGTAAATTTGGTGAAAAAATAACACAAAATTTGTAAACTGTGCCTAATTACTTCAAAATCTCCAACAATATACAGGAGATAGACAAGGTTACTATTTATATAAAAAAGTAATTGTTGATATAGATCTTTGGAAAGATGTTCTTGTGCTCTATTATAACCCAACAAAATAATGAAATTATGTAAAGATATTTACATTTTTTTTCCAATAAATCAGGAGTAGGGGGAGGAAGAAAACTTGCTGCACATTGAAATATTTAATGAACTTTAGAATCTTGTTTTTGTGATGTGAATATTATAGCATCTTTATTCAAACTTCTTCCAGACACAGAAACTTACTAGTCTATACTAGTAACAGACTTTCATTGTATATGAATGGTCACTACATATGGTTCTTGTTAAGAATGATGGATTAAGGCCTGTTGATAGTAACCTTTGACCTAGCTTTGTAAGCAAGACTCCCTGTGTATTACCAAGGCTCACATGTCTAAAGGCATTTATTCAGTTAACCATGTATCATGTATATAAAACTTCTTTTGAGTAACTTCTATTTTACCACCTAAATATAATGTATGACTTTAATCATAGATTTCAAATGATACTAAGCCCCTACCCTTTTTCTATTATAGCCACTTATTTTAAAGTAAGGCAACCTTATTTATACGCTCCTATATAACTGATTTTTAAACCTATAAAAACGATTGTAGCTAAGATTTTGTTACCAATACTTTAACACCAAAAATGGATTCTATCATGAAGTGCTTACACATTGCTTGGTATTGGTCAAGACTGTGCAAAGACATTTAATGTTATTTTTTGGATGGTGTGTATGTTTGAATAAATATACATTTTTGGCTGCAAGACACTCTGATTCGATTATTAGAACACTGATGTGTGGCAAACAAACATCTCAAGAAAAGAAAATTTACTACACATATATTTGTCTCCTGGGATAGGCTGCCAGTGGTAATCTCCCCCAGAAAATATAAAAAAGATGCCTTGCATTGTGTTGCATTAATATGCTGTAGACTTTTTTTTTAATAAACTGATTTATTACCTGCAGAATTCTATGCAATGCTTAGGTGAGGCATATCATTAGCAAATGCATAGTTTATTGCTTCCTTCTTCCTCGAATAAGATGATTGGTAATAGCTGCCCAAGTTGTCCCACTCATTATTTTCATCATCATGTTTGGAATGTAATTCAGCAGCGCTTTACAATTTTACAATAGGGATACAAACACATCCAATCACAGAAAAGGTTATTGAAAATAATGCGTGATAAGAGTGGCTTACAACTGCGTGTTATAAAAATCTCTGCAATTGAAAAACCAGCACCTTCTCCACCCTATGGCTATCTATAAGAAATCAGTAATGTTATCTTCTGTCTGCTTGAGTTAGTCTTGTCCAAGTTGTGCATGAGGTGTGGACTAATCTCACTCTAAGATAAGCAGCAGCTGTGTGCATGTTCTGTCAACTGCTCTGGCAAACAATGCACATAGCCAGGTTCACAAACAGTGAAATGTGTTATGTTCAAACTGATAAATACATGAATGCCATCAGTTATTAAGCAGTTCCACTCATAATCCTGGGTGATGGATGGAACTGGCACTGAGACAAAAATGATTTATTCTCAAATTAGAAACTATATACCATAATAAGTGGTTTGCGATTTTGTAAGCCTCTTCTTGTAAGAGACAAGTCTGCCTGCTGATAAAACTTGTTGTGCATGTACATTAAGGAACGAGCTCCGCAAGTACATAAGGCCCTCCCCATAGGAAAGCATTGACTCTATGCTAACCTATGGGGATTTTACTGATGCTGGATGTCTTCATGCAGAGCCTGAGAACATGCAGAGTCAGTTAAGCGACCTAAAGTTGGTTAGCCACCAGGAAGTGCCACTTGTGGCTGTCTGATTGACAGCCATTAAAGGCAGTCTTAGTTCTGCAAGGTAATCGTTGCAGTTTCTCTTAAACTGCAATTATTTACATTGCAGAACTAAGGGGAACAGGGACATTGCACCCAGAAAACTGCAATGAAATGAAGTGGTCTCAGTGCCTATAGTTTATTTATATATTTGATAGCACAATGTAAAGAATGAATTTTATTCTCCACGAATTGCTGTTTGTATTTTTGCAATTAATCCTGAATGGATTAGTTTTAATATTTGTTTTCATTATTATTCAGAAGAAGCTTACAATTTGTTTGAAAGATAAAAATTTTCTTAGGCACTTTTTTTTTACATGCCACAAGTCCTCTCTACTAATAATTTGTCAAATGCTTCTGAGCTTAGCAACCGCAGACCATTGACATACAAGTCATCATTCCCCCCATCTGTGAGGATATTTATGATGTTCTCTCACATTCTGCGATTAAAGCAAAAGAAGAATGAATTATTTTACTATAGCTAAGCCAATACTATTTGTTATAAGGAGAAAACCTTTGTGATTCTTCATTTTATAATTATAAATACATAAAGCTGCTCACAGAAAAGCACAGAATACCTAGCTCCAATGACCTAAAGTTCATATATTTACAAAGTGATTTCAATGCTTAGCCAATGTCCTTGACAAAGTATTAGAAAAACTGGAATAATCCCTGGAATTTAGTGGGGCTAGTTTAAACTATCTGGTTCTACAACTCCCAGACAGACGACAAAGAGAAAGAAAGATAGAAAGAAAACAGCACAAGTAATATAATATATACATACAAAATCGTTAATAAAAACAAGTATTAAAAAAATCTCATGAATAGGTTTTTGTGAAGTTACTCATTTAAAGGAAAAGAAAAACTAAAATAAATTTGAAAAGCTACAATTTCTGGGGAAATTGTGTGAAGTGTTCTTGCCTCCACCAGTAGTCTACAACTAGGAATCGAGCGATTTTCGGTTTTACCGATATTATCGGCCGATATTCTGTATTTTCGGAAATATCGGTATCGGCCACTAAAGATACCGATATTGCCAATATTGAGAGAGTGAGAAATGCATTTCAACATTTATTTATATAGCACATTTAATTGCAATGTTGTTGCCCAAAGTGCTTCACAGTTACATTAAAACATAAATTTATAAAAACATTAGCAGGTGTACAAAAGGCCCTGTCTATGACATCACTTACTGCTCGAACCTGGCACAAGTCAGAGTATTGTGGCGGTTGCCATCTTCAAACGGTCGTATTTTAAAAGCTATACATCCTACAGCGAAGAGCTTTATTTTGTGAGAATCACAAGACCCAGACCTATATATTGATGCATAGTATGTCTCTGAAGTATTAAGAAATTGCCCTTCAAGTTTGAGCAGGCTAGAGCGGAGTTTCAATGAATCTCAATGGACGGCGTGAGTTGCAAACAAATGGTCATATTGTGAAAACTTAGCTTAGCTTTTAGTGGCAGCAGGGATAGCTGAACGTTTTGATATAAGAATTGTGTAGGTGGGCTTGAAAATAAGGGAGTGGTGGTAGTTTAGAAATCATGTCCTGATTTTTGAGCTTTTGCCAGCTCCCACTCTAGTTTTGAACATTTTGCCATTCATTCCTATGGGACCAATTTCGCCACAAGAACAACGATATTCCATAAACCATTCGGTGAAACGTTCCACAAAGTAATAGCAATCCAATCGGGAACAACCTGCACGTTTTGGTAAATTTTTGTCTATGTAGTGTAAAAACTGTGGGAGGAGTTAGGGTGGCAAATTTGGCTATAATAAGAATAACTAGAAAAGCTACAATTCCTGGGGAAATTGTGTGAAGTGTTCTTGCCTCCACCAGTAGTCTACAACTGGAGTGGGCGGAGTAACTGTTATCATTTATATAGCACATTTAATTGCAACGTTGTTGCACAGTTACATTAAACCATACATTTATAAAAGCATTAGCAGGTGTTCAAAAGGCCCTGTCTATGACATCACTTGCTGCTGCAGCTTGACACAGGTCAGAGTATTTTGGCGGTTGCCATCTTCAAACGGTCGTATTTTAAAAACTATAAATCCTATAGCGAAGAGCTTTATATTGTGAGAATCACAAGACCCAGACCTACATTTTGATG